ATTCATTTGTTTGTAAGTTATAAGCATTTTTATATTTATATATAAAAAGTGGATGTTTCTTGCTGTCTGGTACTGTAGTAATTTGTAAAATATATTCAAACTTCGATTTCAGCATTATCCGTGATGTTTAATGATTTAACAAGATATTTAACTATAGCTTAAATTATTATTTTTATCATTCCATCTGTGAAGTAGGCAAAAACATCGTAACATAAGATAAGGCAGCTATCTAATCAAATAATAATCTGTGACATATAATTTGTTTAAATTATATGTTTGTTTAAATTTTCCCTCCCCCTCCCTCGCCCGAGCCCAAAATTTTGACGTTAAACAACTAATCAACTTTGAACGGCCTTATTTCATCTTAAGTACAACTACAACATTTTTATCACAATTTATTTTATTCATTCAACCTACTCCTTTATTTATATCATACTTTTACATCTCAAATATTATACTACCGCTGTATTATTCTTTATCATTATTATGTAATTTAAAATCTTAATAGCTTAATTTTTATTTCGCTATAATAAATTATAATATATTTAAGTATACTTGATCATGATTTTTAAGTCGTGATTTGCTAACTGAGTTTAAAATTCGAATAAACACGATTACGACATAACACACCAAAAAATAACAAAAAGAAATAAATCTATGATCATAAGAGTAGTTGTTTTTCTACTTCGAATAGAAATATTCTAATAGCAAACTTATCGATCTACTCTAATAAATTATCACTAACAACGCTCCCACATATTAACTACAAAACAATTAACTACTGTTGAATCTAAATTTAAATATAATTCTTTCACTTATTCACTAATATAATCATAAAGCTCTCATCTTTTATAAATTATTTTATTTATTACTTTGCTACCTACTCCTTTTTTTTTTTTTTTTACCTTTAATCCCTTTATTATTGTAATCTTTTTTCTTCTCATGCATCCTACTTTCTTACTCTGTTCATATTCATTTAATTATATCATTAATATTATATCTCCAAATCCTACCTTCTCTTTTTAATATTATCTATTTAAATTATTAAACAATTATCCCCCGGAAGCGAGGCGACGGGTTACATACTAGTTCATAAAAAAATTTTTCATTGAATTTGATCAGTTGATTGTCGAGATATCTTCACTAAAAATTAAAAAAAAAATTGGTGCAACTTGTATCTTGACTTAATTTTTTTACAACTTTGGACGAAATATCTCGATAATCGCTTGACCAAATTCAATGAAAATTTTTTATTTGAATCCTACATATTCGTAGAATTCAAATAAAAAAAATCATTGAAGTTGTCGGGTGGCTGTCAAGATATCTTCGCTCAAAGGTTTAAAAAAAAATCTGGCGTACTTGTATTTTGGAATGTGTTAATTTTTCTCAAATGTTCGTAAAATTCAAAAAAAAATGAATTTGGTCGGTTGGTTACCGAGATATCTTGGCTAGGGCACTTCTTTTATCGAAAAAAGACCCCTAAAAATCAAATCGGTGGATATGCTTTATTACTCTATTAATGGTAAATTCCGAAATTTTTGAAAAAAAAAGGTGATTTGTATCTCACTGATTTGTTCATCGAAATGATGACTATCGCCAACTATGCCATTTTCTAAACAATTGGCTTGTTTAGTCGACTAATTTATCGGCTAACACCGATGAAATAAAGTGATTACTCGAAACTTTATTCAATTTCCGACTATCGCCAACTATGCCATTTTCTAAACAATTGGCTTGCTTAGTCGACTAATTTATCGGCTAACACCGATGAAATAAAGTGATCATTCGAAACAAATCTGGCGTTAAATACTACTACCCTAACCTAATTTAAATAAGGGGAACGAAAAACGTATTAGCTTAGATGGTACATGGGTGATACAACAAAAAAAAAGGTTCAACTAATCACGCTAGAATATGCAGTACTATTGTACAATGATAAAAATTAAGTTTATCTTGTAACTGGTACAGTGTTGATGACGTATTCCTTGAAGTTTTTAAAAATTCGTATATGTCGGTTTACTATTTTCTAACGTTCTTTTCTAACGTTAAGTTTAACGAAATATGTCCGAGCAAGACGTAAAGCCAACGTCCATTAATGAAAAAAGTTCAGAAAAGACACCAATAGCTCAAGAACAAGTTACTTCTAATAATGTAGATGGAACTACGCCAACTCAAGATAAAGCCCAACGAATTCAAATTGAATTGCCAAAGAAACAACAAAATATAGAAACTTCTAATGAAAATAAAGATAATGAAGGTTTTTGTTTTTTTTATTTTTTTAGTGTACAGAGATTCTCGTTAGAGCGCAGAGAGTTTACGCGTTAGTTTTTTAATTGTAAACCCAGAGTCAACACAGCATGAACCGCAGAAATCCGAGCAAGATATTGAATCCAATAAAAAGGATTTAGAATTAGAACATTTTGAGACGCGCAGTATTGAAGAACCTATGGAACCGTGGAAACATGAAGGACCTTGGTACACGGATATTATGAAGAGGAGATGGTTCATTTCCGTTGTCATTGGATTATTAATTGTTATAATTATCATTGTTGGTGAGTGTAAAAGCAAATAAGAGGTAGGCTTTGATCAAATTGGCATTCAACTGTTGGTTTAATCAAATTTTTTTTTTCACTTACAGTACCAGTGGTCGTAACACATGCAACCAATGGATAGGTAGTTATATATATGTATATAAGCTTATATATATATAATTTGGATATAATTTGGAAACAAGACTTAATGCATTATATGATACGAACTTCTTTTATCATTCATACCTTCTTGGCAGTTAATGAACTATTCGAAATAAAATTGAAGATTCTAAATGACTATTGAAATTGTATTCTTAATGGTTGCAATATAAGGATGATTTTCGCGATTTGACCGGCAGTTTGCGTTCCTCATGACATGATTTATTCTGTATAAATGGGAGCTCGGAGCGTTGATTTACAAAAATTAGAATATTATTATCATATGATTAATCAAATGTTATTAAATACATAATCTGCCAGGTTTAAAGTATTTTATCGTTATATCGTGTCCGGTACCGTGTAACCAAAAACACAAACCTGAAGACCTTGCAATCTCGAAAATAAAGCAATCCTGTTTCAAAAGTTGCATTGATTAATAATAGAAATAGATTTAGCAAGGGGATCTTCCCGTAAATACGGATTATGTACGTATTTAGATTAAAAAATTGCTATAAACAAGTTCATTGATTCATAACTAAATTAGTATTTATTTTTCCTGACTCGAAGCTGTTTAAGCCAGTTTAATCATCAGTCTTTAAATAACATATTCTGCAAGCATAAGAATACATTATAAACTTTATTACTATATACCAATGTTTTTATCTAACTTTTTAAATATCTAATATATGTAGTGTCTTTATTAATTGCATATCCGAATAATTGACATATGGAACACTTTCTGAAATTACCGTGCTGGTAAAAATCCCTCGAGTATATGCGTTTCATCACGGTTAATCATAACTGATTCGTTATGATTCTGTGTAATACGTGTATAGTATTACTCAAAATTAACATAGATTAGATGTAATAGAAATATAATCTGGAAAATGTATGATTTACTTTTTTCTCTTCGTTATATATATCTTAAAAAAAAGAAAGGTCAAGACGGATTGTTCAATCTGGTGTGATAACATCATAATGCATGTTTGACTTACTTCGCCTTGCAGTCTTTGGCCAAAATATTTAGCCGTACCGTATTCTTGGGTCACCGTGTGAACTCGTTCTAAGTTTGGAAATAAAGTTACGATAAAAGTAATTTATAAATTACATACAGTAAAGAATTAATTTAAAGATATCAGATTAGGTTTCGACCAATAAGCTTATAGGGACTTTTGTATAATTCATCTTGTAATATTTATGCTACACGATAACGATAATTATTTAACTAATTTGACTAATCTCCCGGGTTTATCGGAGATTTAAAAATTGATTATCAATTAACATTAATATTGATAAAAGTATAAAAACGAAATACACCAAAGTTCTCCCCCACTTTAACTTTAATCTCTCTCTTATTCACATTTCTTCACTACTGTATTTTATTACTGTATTATTGTATTATATTTTATTTAAATTGCCATGTATCATGATCATTCTGATCATTCGATAGAAACTATCCGTCGAGATAGTCAAGTGTTGAACCACCTTCCAAAATTAATGGTGGTTAATCGTGGGGTAAATTTAAGGTTTCGATACTTTTTTTTCTATTCGATGACTCAATTTATTAATTTCTTGACTCTATCAGGAAATAGCTATTCGTATTTTTCGAACTGCTCATGAACTTTCAATGAGAACTGTCGCTATTTTCAGTCATGAAGACCGTTTATCAACGCACCGTTATAAAGCTGATGAAGCCTATCAAATAGGTGATCCTAGCAACCATACTCCTGTCGGTGCTTATCTTGCTCAGGATGAAATCATTCGTATCGCAAAATCAAAAGGTGTATCAATGATTCATCCGGGTTACGGTTTTCTTTCAGAAAATGCTAGTTTTGCAAGAAAAGTTGAAGAGGCTGGAATCGCTTATGTTGGTCCTACTCCCGATGTTATTGAAAAATTGGGTGACAAAACGAAAGCAAGAGAAATTGGTATATATATATATATATATATGCAATCAACTCTGGGTATAACGAACTTTTTTAAAGAATTTTATTATAGAGTTCGGTGTAAAAACCACCAGTTCGCTATAAAGAGAGTTGATTGTATATCTACTTTTATTTTAATTATTATTATTATTCATTTATTTTATTAACCATCATTCTTGTAATTTTTTTGTGTTTAAGCTATCGAATGCGGTATTCCCGTAGTTCCAGGTACTCGTGGCCCGATTTCCACATTTGATCAAGCTAACGATTTCATAGAGGAATATGGTTTTCCAATTATTATTAAGGCGGCAATGGGTGGTGGCGGGCGTGGAATGAGAGTGGTCCGTGAAAGAGAGAATTTTAAGGATTCGTTTAACCGTGCAAAGTCTGAAGCTTTAGCTGCTTTTGGTGATGGAACCGTTTTCTTGGAACGTTTTTTGGAGCGGCCAAAACATATCGAGGTTCAATTACTAGCTGATAGCGAAGGAAATGTAATCCATTTATTTGAACGTGATTGTTCTGTACAAAGACGTCATCAAAAAGTGGTTGAAGTTGCTCCTGCAATTAATCTAAAGGTTCTTTTATTTTCTTGTCTTGATTAGATTTTTTTTATCTATTTATTTATTTTATTTTTTATTTTATTGTTTATATATTAATTATATGTTATTAGAGTTCTGTGCGTGATGCCATCCTCAATGATGCTGTAAAACTCGCAAAACATGTGAACTATCGGAATGCCGGTACTGCTGAGTTCTTAGTTGATCAGCAGGGCAGACATTATTTCATTGAAATAAATCCTCGAATTCAAGTTGAGCATACAATTACAGGTTAGCTTTATATTTCGATTATGAATATTCAATTATATTTCCTTTATTTAAAGAAATGAATATTTAGTTATAATTCTTTTATTTGCCTTGGTTTAGAGGAGATCACTGGTATCGATATAGTCGCCGCTCAAATTCAAGTCGCTGCTGGTGCTCTTCTTGCTCATCAAAATCTTATACAAGATCGTATACAAATTCGTGGTCATGCTATTCAGTGCCGTGTAACCACTGAAGATCCTGCTCAAAATTTCCAACCAGATACCGGAAAAATTGAAGTTTATAGATCTGCTGGTGGCAATGGTGTTCGATTAGATGGTGGTGCTGGTTATGCTGGTGCCGTCATTACTCCACATTATGATTCTCTATTAGTAAAAGTTACTTGTTGGGGAAAAACTTACGAAATTTCCAGACGAAAAGTTATTCGTTCTTTAACCGAATTTAGAATCCGTGGTGTAAAAACAAACATCCCTTTTTTACTACGTTTATTAACTCATAGTGCCTTTGCAAATGGTGAAGTGTGGACAACTTTCATTGATGATACTCCTGATCTATTTAGACTGGTAGAAAGTAAGAATCGTGCTCAAAAAATTTTGAAATATTTGGGTGATGTGGTTGTTAATGGAAGCAGCATTAAAGGTCAAATTGTAAGTTTAAGTTTACTCTTGTATTATTACTATTTTAAAATATTTTAAGATATTATCTTCTTATTCGTATTATTTATCTTATTCATCTTTTTATTCATATTATTTATTCATATTATTTATCTTATTCATCTTTTTATTCGTATTATTTATCTTATTCATCTTATTCGTATTATTCATATATAGGGTGAACCTTTATTTAAGCAACCATTATATCTTCCAACCATCCGCTCTCAAGATGGACCTGAGCCTGTCGATCTAAGTAATCCTCCTGAACGTGGTTGGAGATGTATAATTCAAGAAAAAGGGCCTGAGGCATTTGCTAAAGCTGTTCGAGAATATAAGGGTGTATTAATCATGGACACAACATGGAGAGATGCTCATCAGAGCTTGTTGGCAACTAGAGTCAGAACTATCGGTAAATGATCTCTTTAATAATATTATCTTTTTGTCCGTTTGTTTATGATCTAACTTTTTTTTTTCTAGATCTCTTGAATATTGCTCCTCAAACAGCTCACGCGCTTGCAAATGCTTACTCTCTTGAAATGTGGGGTGGTGCGACTTTTGATGTATCTATGAGATTTTTATATGAGGATCCTTGGGACCGTTTGGTAAATTTTTATATTTTAAAGCAAAGCAATGAGTAATGCTTTAAACTTATAGTTCTTTTAACTTTCATAAATTCTAGGTGAAATTACGCAAAATGGTTCCAAACATTCCTTTTCAAATGTTACTTCGTGGTGCAAATGCTGTGGGTTATACTTCATACCCAGATAATGTTATATATGATTTTTGTAGAAAGGCCAAGGAGTATGGTGTGGACATTTTCCGTATCTTTGATTCTCTCAATTATATTGAAAATATGAAGTTAGGCATTGATGCTGTTAGAAAGGCTGGTGGTGTAATAGAAGCTGCAATTTGTTATACGGGTGATGTCTCTGATCCAAAGAAGACAAAATATGATTTAGATTATTATTTAAATTTCACCCAAGAGTTAGTTAATGAAGGAATTCATGTACTTGGTATCAAGGACATGGCTGGTTTATTGAAACCAGAAGCTGCTGAAATCTTGATCGGTAGCATAAGGAAAAGATGGCCCGATTTACCAATCCATGTTCATACACACGATACAGCAGGAACTGGCGTTGCCAGTATGTTAGCTGCCGCTAAAGCAGGTGCTGATGTAGTTGACTTGGCCATTGATAGTATGTATAGTATCTTATAGTATCTTAATTATTCTTGATAATTAAACTTTATTCCATCTATTTAAGGTATGTCCGGTGTAACTTCTCAACCATCTATGGGTGCCGTCGTTTCTGCACTCGAGCATTCTGAACTTGGTACGGGTATTAGATTGGAAGATGTGCATGCTTTGAATGAATATTGGGAACAAGCACGCAAATTATATAGCTGCTTTGAGTCTGGAGTTTTAAGTGGTGATTCTTCAGTGTATGAACATGAAATGCCTGGTGGTCAATACACAAATTTAATGTTCCAGGCTTCACAGTTAGGTCTTGGTAAACAATGGAAAGAAATCAAAAAAGCTTATGCTGAAGCCAATAAATTATGTGGTGATATTATTAAAGTGACGCCTAGTTCAAAAGTTGTAGGAGATTTTGCTCAATTTATGGTCACTAACAAATGGTCTTTTAACGATGTAAGGTTTACAATATTTTTTCTTTTTTAATCTACTTAAAATTATCCAAATACTTAACTTTTCACTCAATAGGTCATTGAGAAGGCAAAAAATAATACGTCATTTCCGGTTTCAGTTGTAGAGTTTTTCCAAGGTTATCTAGGACAACCATATGGTGGATTTCCTGAACCACTTCGCTCAAATGTAATTAATCTATCTATACTTATTATAAGCTTTTAAGCAATTATTTACTTACCCTTTTTTTTTATTCTGTTAATTATGAATTAGATTATCCGTGATCTTCCGCGAATTGATGCACGACCCGGTGCATCAATGGAACCTATGGATCTTGATAAGCTTAAAAAGGAGTTGATAGCTAAATATGGTCGGTCCATTCGTGGTGTTGATATATCTTCAGCAGCAATATATCCAAAAGTATTTGCAGAATATCGGGAACAGCTTGAAAAATTTGGTGATGTCTCAGTAATTCCAACAAGATATTTCTTGTGCAAGCCTGAGATTGGCGAAGAATTTTGCATAAGTCTCGAAGAAGGTGTTACCCTAATTATAAAGTTTTTGGCTATTGGGCCTCTAGATACAGCTACTGGAAAGCGAGAAGTATTCTTTGAATTAAATGGTGAAACTAGAGCTGTTGGTATAGATGATAGAAGTGCCGGTAATTTAAATAAAATTTTTTGTGATAAATTATTATTATTACTATTATTTAAATAATAATTTAATATCCTTCATTTAATATCAGCTGTTGAACATGTTCATCGTAAGAAGGCTGATCCAGGAAATCCTGGTGATGTTGGAGCACCAATGTCTGGAGTAGTGATTGAAATCAGGGTGCATGGTATGTTTAAACTATTATGTTATCGTATTCAATTTTATTTTCTTATTGCTAAATAAGAATTTTTTTTTTTATTTATACAGAAGGAGCTGAGGTTAAAGCTGGGGATCCGATATGTGTTCTTTCAGCAATGAAGATGGAAACAGTAGTTTCATCACCTGTTTCTGGTAAAATTGAACATGTAGAAGTTAAAGAAAGTGATTCATTATCGGCAGGAGATTTAATAGTTAAAATAATTAAGTAAACATATATGGTTGTTTTTTTTTTTGTTTATTATTTAGCCTTTTGAAATGTATATTACTTTTTATAATAAATATTTAATTCATTTTTAAATATACAATTTATTATTAAGAAATTTTTGTATTTTATTTAGGGAACTAATATTTATACCTTTTATTTTGATATTTACTCCTTTTACTAAATAACCAGTACCAGTACTTAAAAATAGATATTGTTTTTAAGTAAATCTTTTTAGTATTAAGTTGTTTTCTAGATTTTTTGATTCTAATAGTAGTAAAATTATTAAAATTGAATTGGTAGTTTTTATTTAAAGTTAATTACCGGTATATACTATTTGAGTGCTGCCAAGGGAAAACCTACAATCGGGCTTTCAATTATATTTTGTATAAAGTTTGTCCTTTAATTGCCGTCTAGGGAAAATTTATTATCGGGCTTTCAATTATGTTTGGTGACATCACAAAATATAATTAAAAGGGGGACAAACTGTATACAAAATATAATTGAAAACCCAATTGTAGGTTTTCTCTTGGCAGCACTTATTTGTTAAATTTAAATATACATAATTTAAGAATTTGTAACCCAATTTTAATAAATTTAATATTATTAAAATCAAAAATATAAAAAACAGCTTTGTTTGAAACTATTAAAAAGGTTTATTTAATAACAATATTTGGTTCAAAATATTTTTTATTTAATTAGAAATATTAGAAAATTACATTTACATATAATTTTTTATATTATAGTCCTGTATTAATAAAGACTTACAGGGTTTGGGTTCTATAGCTTAGCAGTTAAGCTCCCAAACCTTCACAGACTTGGTTAATGGTTTGAGTTAGGCTGGAGGTAAATTTTAATAAAAATTTGCCTCTGCAATCTACAAGAGCAATAAAATCAAATGCAAAGCTCTGTAGAAGTTCAAGTGCAATACAAAACCAGAATAAAGAGTTTTTGAAAAGAGATTAAATTATAGAGTAGTAGTATTATGTATGGTAGCAGCATTATAGAAGATTTAGTTATACAAAGATTACACAAATAAGTCTTCTGGTTTCGGTGACCTAGAGGTAATACTAACATCTCTGCATCTAACTTGTAGAGTATTTGTTTAAAAAAGTAATATGATAGTAATTAAAACTGAAGTAATAAGAGAAGCAGTAATACACAATTATAGGCTATAGTAAAGAATTATACCTTAACTGAAATTGGAAGCACCTCTGGTATTCATATAATATCTGTTAGAGAAAAAATTACTTAATATAAAAAAAGATTAGTAAGCAATTTAAAATACAGTATATGTAAAAAAAGGTTTATAAAAGACAAAATTATATTTAATTAGAAGTAGTACTGTTACAAGTGGACTGTAGCCTTCTTAATACAGCACAAGTAACAAAGCACACAGCTATAGAGCTCTGTTGCGAG